TGTAGCAATTAAAGGCACTGGAATACTGAACAACTTTAGTGTTACTGATGAAATCATTTCAATACAGTTTGAGGATGGCGTATTGGTAGCACTATGGAAGTGATCAAGGATGTACATGTGGTGTTGATATACAACCCAAGATTTACCACAGAGAAGAGTGGGAAGAACAGCGGTTTTACAGACTTTAATTTGGAGTCTGTTATTGCGTTTTTGTTAGTTACGCTTGAGAATTTTTCCAAGGTCTGTTTTCACCATCTTTTTCGAGTTAGACATTAGTTGATTAGTAAAATCCAGAATAACGTTCATCATTCTCATACCGATGGATATACTGCAAGGTGAGTGAATTTTGTGGGGTGCAGGTTGGTGGGGAATTACAACTTAAGTCTGACTGATTTCTAATCCGAACAGTTCGGTAGCCTTTGCGAATCAAGACGTTACTTGTTGTAGAGTTGACTATGAGTAGGCGACTAGATGTCCGTTGACTACGAAGAGAAGTTCTTTACTCTCAGTGAATTCGTAAGTGTGAGTTTATAGCCTGTTCAGGTTTAACGGATAATAATTTGTAGGGGTGCGTCTAGATAATTTTTCGTCATTCTTCTCCCATGAGGCTTATTACATCGTGTTGAAGAATGCGAAGAAGAGAGTCAAGATCAGAATTTAACCTCCACTTTGAATCTAATATGCTCATCCATTAATATTGTATGATCAGTTTATTCGATAATCTCTTCTCTTTGTCTCAATGCTACGCATTCTATTCATCTTTGACTAAAATTATATTCAGACTGATAATGGCAAGAAAAAATATTTTAAATGCAGTGCCGGAATTAAATTGCGACAACCTAAATATTTTTTTTCAAATTATTCAAGATTAAACTTAAACATATAAAGTTGACAGACATTACATGATAACATATACAGCTCAATAAATGGCCACGTTAAAAAATAAGGATTGCGTCACAAATACTCAAACAATATTAATACACTGTATTTTCTTTCTGCGTGAACACAGACCTGTACACTCACATGAATTGATTGTAGATTGTGAATACTATCCAACGATAGTTTTGTCTGAATTCCTGGAATAAAGAGTTATCATTATTTACACTATTTATATTTGAACTATTGTATTCATCTGGTCTTCCTCGGGTCTATAGCGATCTGGATAATCTATAGGGAATTCCGAACTGAACCCTTTATTTAATTTAAGAGGGTAGACTGCTCTTGTTTCACTTCCCATGCCTATATATTGTCTAGTTCTTATTTATTCATTTATTGCGCGCCCGTTTCTACTGAGAGCAAGTACACACTGGCTGATTGAAGTCACAACCAATATGTCACCAAATTCAGTTACCCACTCGGAGTAAACTTAGAGCTTCAAACCTAACCTTCACTGCTGATTAAATTGCCACTTCCGCTGATGCCGGCTGTCAGATTTTGATTACTGCCATGCCCAATTTCATTGTCTCTTACTAAGGATGGAGGAACCTCGAAATTAAAACAAATATTAGGACAATAGTCCGAATATAAATAGTGTGAATAACCATCTTACGATATATTATTCCATACTGCATGCACTTGTTAACGCAATACAGCAAGTATTATCGATAGACATAATCCGATCATGCTTCATACATTTAAAATAGGAAACGAGTCATGCATGTTTTTATATGTTGCAGAGTATTTTGAGTAGTACGGGTTTCATGTAGGCAGGCATTATTTTCTTGAAAGAGTACATCGTCTTCCGGAATCATATAGATATGGTACTGTTCAACGTTGAAATCTAAATGAGAAAAATGAGTAAGGTTTGTAACTTATAACATGATGTTAGTGTCTGACAAATACATCGTATTCATTGTCGCTCCCCACAAGTCTACGTTGCACACACACAAAATATCATCATCTGCATGAAGGTATCTACATACATTGCTGAACAATACAGAGCACCATTCGATCCAACAGATAACACTCATGAAAATCAATCGAGCAGCTGGTTCATTTTCCCGTGTTAATACTTCTGTGTGTAGATTTAGTCTGATTTTTACTGGAGACACCGTGCAATATGATATTACTACCTTTACAATGTGTCAATCATGGCGATTCTCCGTGGTATATGAATGTCCAGAATCTGGTCTACGCGAAGGTGTAATGTTCATTTGACTAATATTGCTGACATCAGGTCATTGTTGATTCCTCACGTCTAGCATGCTCAGTAATTCTTATCGTTAGAATCTCCAGAAGGCCCACTGATCAACCTCTCTCTACTGACTCCAACTGAATAAAAAGATAACATCTTTCTTCCTAGAAGGACTCTTTACGACACAGAAGCTTCTCAGATACAGATAGTGCCCTTTTCTATGTGTTACTGCGTCACAAAACGGCTGAAGACAAAGTTTAAAGTTTCGTTGAAAACGACTGACAAAGTGCAGTGGTTGAGTTTTTATATAATTTCTCATGTGTTCGTATAATTTTTTCAAGCCATAAATTATATATAAATTGTACGAATATTTTCTAAGCGCAGTTAGCTATAATTTTATCCAATATATAAAAAATCAACCACTACATGCTGCCAGTTGTATTCAACGAAACTTGCATAAAAGAAGGATGTCTGTCCAAATACACCATTATATATATATATATATATATATATATATATATATATATATATATATATATGAATTTTGGCCAATGTGTGAAAAAAATTGTCACGATACTTATATTGAATCTATCGTTTATAGTTCCCGCTCTTTAAAAATGTTTATCTTTTTCTTATTCTTCCACATTCTGTAACCCGATGTATCTTAGTGATTTTATTGCCTTGTTTAAAGTGAAATTATTAAAAGAAATAGCCTATTTGCAATGAAAAAGAGTGCCGGACAAAATGTATTCATGCCTTTGACCCACCCATCAGGTTCATCAAATGCCATTTGACATTCGTCCGTGAAAATTACTTTAAAAAAGTCAATTTTCGTGTATTTCTTGACCCGATTTTGATGCTTTAAAATATTTGCTCTAGTGAGATGAGGTTACCTAGGAGACTTATTTTTACAGATCCTAATTCACAAAGTATTCTACACTTTTTATTCTTCTTGACACCCTCAATTCCTGCCTTTTCAAAGATCTGGGTACTGGTCAAAAATGGTTGTTTAGCTATAACTAGCTTTAGTTTACATTCATTTCAAGGAAGTAAATTCTTAAATCCTTTTCCTTTGCCTCGAATTCTCAACTTACTTATATTTTCAACAGCCTGCTTTCTTGTTCGATGATCTTTGCAAATATCATTTGATATCGCCAATGTGGACATTTTCTCACTCAATAACTTTATTTTCTATTTTTCAGCAGTTGCAAGATCTTCCCCCTTACCCATGTTTCAACAAATATTATTGACAAAAAGAAAAAATAGTTTTTATTAAATTTCAGTGGCCTTAAGGTAATATTAGTTTAATCTGCATACTAACTCCAGCTAGACTATTTTGGAAAATTCCAAATATCTCAAAAACTAACTATTAAAAATGGCAGAAAATTTAATTACCTATTTTACTAAAGGTGGAAATGAAGGAGTTTAAATTTTACAAATATTGGTTCAGAACGTTTTGAACTATTGAGTTTTGTTTAATTTGCATAAGAACTTTAGACAGGCTGTATAGACAGGGTTCGATGGATAAATTTTCGTCTAAATTACTCAAAAAAGAAAATTACACTGATATATTTACTAACATTATACAAAAATATTTTGAAATACTAAAGAGTAAATTTATTCAATAAAAACGCCATTGGCTTCAACCACGGACTCCAGACGGCTTCGGAATCTCCTGCAACTTTTGGGGTGGTCTCCTTGTTTAACTTGGTGAATGCTACCATAATCCTTGCCTTCAGTTCATCTTTGGTGTTAAAATGAGTTTTGATGGTCTCTTGTTCAACTACGCCCCACACATAATAATCAAGAGGGATGCAGTCTCGAGAATTAGGTGACTAGATTTAAGGTTTGATGTGGCCGCAGAAATTGTCTGACAGCCACGATTGGGTTTTCCTGCTTGTGTGGCATGGTGCAGTGTCCTGTTGCTAGACAAAGGGTCTTCCAGCAGACACCCTCTTGATTCAGACCAGCACTACCTCCTCAAGGCACTTGATATACTTCTCTGTGTCGAGTTTGAGGACCTCACCAGCAAATTTAAGAGTTATCAGAATGATCAGAGTAAGTTTTCCGTATAGCCGTACCATCATAATCACTATTAGACTCATTCAACTCTTTCCGAATCGTCTCCAATATCCTCAGATTGACACCCAAACACTCAGGAAATGTTCGTATTGGAGCTTTTGATGCGAATGTCAAGTAGTAGAGCATGGCATTTCCAAATTTCTGGCGGAGTTTTTGCATGTATATCGGACGAAATGCGTCATACAAAAAATAATGTTACTTTTTTTAGATTTCCCTGAAATTGTTCTTTATACATAAATGATTATATATGGTTTTTCCATATATATATATATATATATATATATATAGGTACACACACACAATGGACTACGGAAAAGTTTTAAGACTCTTCATCTCACCTTCGGAGTTCATTAAGTTTTTTTTTTTCTGTAGCCAATGAATGTGTGGCAAGGTAATACAAAAATGCATTGCAAAAATATTTATTATAAAAATCAGGAAGACACCATTTTTTCGTGGTCTGACGGGAATGCAATTGCTGTATATTTCTATCCAGAACTGTGATCACTTTACATTATTAGCAATATCATCAATAAAAAAAAAATCCTTAATAATGATTCATTTTTATCATTCGCTCAGAATTAAAAGAATGGGAAATATTTTGGTTAATTTGACTGAGTATTATATTTTCTATTGTTATATTTCTTTTCGTGCAAACATCGTTCATTTTTTTTACTTCTTGTAGGAACCTTCCACGTTGAATATTCCATGCTAGGAAGAATAAAATAAAAATAATGAAAAAATTGGCATTTATTCTCCAAGTGGACTGTAGCAAAGAAAAATCAAAATGCATGACATTTTATTTATAAATTTATTTTTTTTTAATTTTTTTCTTTTTATTATTCTCTTTGATTTTCCTTTTCTTTTCTTTTGTTTTTCTTTTTTTTTCTTTCTTTTAGTTTTTTCATTTTTTGCTTATGTTTTTTTCATTTTATATTTTTCTTTCATCTTTCCCTTTGATAGTATTTATCTAATCATATTTTTATTTTTTTTACCCTGTTTTCTTCTTCATTCGCATTTTTCTTTAATTTTATTAGCATCTTCTTCAAATTATTTCATTTCTATTTATTATCATTATCTTTCTCTCGGTTTTTTTCTTATTTTCTCAATTCGTTGTCTGTTTTATTTCTTCTCTTTTTTCCTTTTATCTTTCTTTTACCCGCCTCTTTATTCTTTGATTATTCTCTTTTATTTTCTTCTTCCTACTCATATCTCATTATTCTTATTTTCAATTCTTGTATTAAGATTAAATTCCATTCATTCGTTTTCTGTGATTTATTTAATGAGTAATTATATTTTTTCATTTAATTTCTGTTCATTATCAGTTTTATTTTATTCATTTTCGTTTTCTTCTTCATTTTTTCACTCGTTAATTTCTTTCTTTAATTTTCCTTCTCTCCCTCGTTGATTCGTTTTAGAAATGTATTCAGTTCTTTTACTTTATTTTCGTTTTCATTCATTTCTATCTTTATTTTTCAAAATCTCTTTAATTTTCAGCTTCATTCATTTTCATGTCTTTTACTTCATTTTCTTTGACTTTGTATTTACATTTTATTACTTTCATTTTCTTTTGTAGTAACAATAATACGCTTATCTATCAATATGTATATATATATATATATATATATATATATATATATATATATATATATATATATATCACCAAGATTATTTTCATTCATTTTATGACTCATTCCAAACTTATTTATTGGCATTTATTTCTTTCTACTTCTGTGTACCGTCGTGTTCATTTATGAGTTGGGCGATCATCGGTCTCAACTACTATCCCTTGTAGTTCTTAGCAAACTTTCACCCTTTACAAAGCCTCTCACCCCCGCCGAATATTCACACAAGTTGGTCAGTTAGGTAGCCGCTGCATTTACCTGTCCCTTTTTCCTTCGATATATCGTTTAGTGTCATATTCCTCAAGCCCGCCCAAGAAAACTCTGATGTCTCTTTCTGATTCTGTGTATAAGTGTCTTTTTCCTTAAAACTTCTTCAATGCTTGCGTGCTCCGTCCATTATATTCTTCTCAGTATCCTTCTGTAGAACCGGATCTCATCTATCTCCATTTTTCTTTTCTGTGGGGAGATTGTCTAGCATTTACTGCCATCTAATAGGATTAACATTACATAACATTTCAGCACTCTTTTCTTTGCTTCTAATTAAATTTCCTCGTTTCTTCTTACCTTTTAGAAGGCATCTATTGCTTTTACAGTACGTGTTCAAATCTCGATGATGCGCATTTCTTGCCTTCCGTTAAACGCACTTTCCAAATATTTAATCTTCTGCGCTTGTTTGACGCTGACATCTACTTCATATCTGGCATCTTGAGCTGTCCCTTTTGCTAACAGCTATATACTCTGCCTTTTTAGAGTTGATAGCTAGTCCCTTCCTCACGCTTTCCTGCGTATTTTATATTGTTATGATTACGCCTGCGGATAAAAGTTCTTTCTAAGCTCTCTAGCTCTCTTAGAACAGTCACGCTGCAGAGCATGAATAAATCCGGTGATCCTTGTCTTACGCCCCTGTAATCGATTCGATACTGTTTCAAAATCGAGCCTATTTTGTTGCGTTCACTTTCGCACTAATTCCTTTAGGAAAGTCATTAAATCTATCGCTTCTACTTCGCTCATTTTAACATAAATAGCGTGGTAGAATGGATTACATAGTTTGAATTAACACTCAGTTGAGAAGAAAGGCAACTTTGAATTTAAATCTATGCATGAGGCAATAGGAAACCACTTCACTATATAAAGATATTAAAGAAAAGGAAAATGTGGAGAACCATGAATAACTACGTCCTGAAGGGACTTGGCATTTATGACAAACGTGGAAATACACACATTCTCTCTTTTATCACCAATCTTCAGCTTACACTGTCAAAAAAATCTTTATCTAGCGTTTTAACCCAGCAACTGCTGTAGCTGACACATAGACCACCCCTCTATACTCATCCCTTTTCAGCCCTCACAATACGATTTTCAGTTACCCCTCCTACTTAGCGTACTTGACTAGACCACCCCATCGATATTACAAAGTGGGATTGGTTCTATGAAACAAACTCTGCTCTCGATTCTCCTTTTAAGTTCGTGGGCTTTTATATTGGCTTTTTCTTATATCAGAAACTTTTCTCCCGTGCATTTTTTGTTAATTCTTCTTAACTCCGATCTCCAAGTGAAACATTTCTTATAAGTTCAGAAGCAGATGGATTTCACAACGCACTTCATTTTCTACTTCAAAATTTGTTTATCAATTCCATCTACATTTTTTTCCATTTAAATTCAATGAAAAAGTTATTAGCAAGAGATACATTTATGATTAATTTCCAAAATTACCAAGAAGAGCATAGACACGAGCAAGCAAGCAAGAACACACACACACACACACACACACGCACGCACGCACAGGCACAAACACGCACACGCATATATTGTTTAAAGTGTGTTTTACCTATGGGGTCTATCTCTCTCTCTCTCTCTCTCTCTCTCTCTCTCTCTCTAGATAGATAGATAGATAGATAGATAGATAGATAGATAGATAGATATGACAGTAGATAACAATTCTTTTTCTTTTGTTTATGTTTCCATGACATTTTTGTTATTAAATGTCTTCAGTGATCTTTTATTATCGTAATATGGGATATTTAATAAAAAGTGATGGAAATTTAAACAAAAAGAAAGATAATTTGAATGAAATCTGCTATACCAAAACCACATTAAATATATTCTAAATTTTAAATTCTCAACATCTCTCTTTCGTTGGTGCACATGTGTAGTCGCATCAACGTAAGCATAAACTTAGTCTGATGATGTCCTAAACTTAGTTTGATGATGTCCTAAATGTCGAAATTTGTCACAAGAAAACACTTTCCACTTTGTTATACTTCTTTCACCTAAAATAGTTATTGATATATATATATATATATATATATATATATATATATATATATATATATATACACTATAAATGTTATTTCCAGTGGATACCTGTATTTGAGTTGTTATCCTTTATAGTAAATAAGAAATATCAGATAAAGAAATGTATATATATATATATATATATATATATATATATATATATATATATATATATATATATATGTATGTATGTATGTATGTATGTATGTATAAAATGAAAGACTGCTGAAAAGTCTCAGATCGACCACAGTTCAAACATTTCGATTAATTCTTATTAATTCCAAAAACTTTTCAGCATTCCTCTATAAGTGGCTTATTCGCCCTATCACCTTAATCGGTAGATTAATAGGCCATTTGTTCAAGCGAAAAGTAATTCCTACTTTGATGAACCAAATTTGATTGTGAAGCATCGACATCTCGTTAGAACAGTGGTTTTAAATGACTTCAGCTAGTGACGATATACAATATGCTACACAGCTTGACGTATCATCTGACAGCGAAACCTAGTGGTGGACACATCATTTTATTTGTTTGTTTTATTCACCAGCTCTATTCCCTTTTCAAGATTTAACCAAACGACCAACCAAATATCTGCCATGTGAAATTACCCAAGTGAATAATTTCGATTACAAGTAAACCTGTTCGCGACCTCACTGGTATACATAACCATTAAGGTTGATTTTAAAAGAATTTGAATGTAGGAGAGCCTGGCATGTTCACCTTACTCTTGAATCTTGATAATGGTCAGAAGTGGCAACAGTCTGTTTTATGATTAAATGCAATCGTCAGGTCATGTGTGTTGTGTGTTGCCTCGACTATTGATATATGATGGTCAATGGGGCATTATGGGTAGGTCTGTTGTATTATTCTAACGATTATTTTTGTGGGCGGTAACGGTTATGCTTCGAATTATTGTAAGGGTCATTGAGTGGGAATAATTGTGGATCCGAATGCAGTTTTGTGGCTATTTTATAGTTTTGTTTGTTAACTTTTTACGCAAGGTATATAAACGTGCTTCCATACAGGCACACGCGCTGACATACATATACAAATCTATACAAACGCATATACACATATGTTTATGAGTAGATGTGCCTTACTGTTTGGTTATTCCTGATTGACAATTAGATTAGAAATAATTTATTAGAAAAGAAATCGTTGTTTTTTTCTATTCTGCCATGAATTAACATTGCTTGGACAATGAAAAAAGCACAAACAGAATTGATTTCATACTTTTCTAACAGTGTGACGAAAAAGTGGCCATCAAGTACTTCTTGAATAATATATTTGAACGTCATTTCAGTTTTGGGATGTTGTTGGTTAACTGAGCTCACCCGTTGCCATCTGCCACAACTGATTTCAATCAGTATTATCCCAGTTTTCTATTTATCCCATATCAACCATTGAATTCCATCTAGTTGAGACATCTAGAAGCCCAACCATCCTATCAAACTGTTATGGGACACATCTAAATTATTCCCAAATGTACTCAATGAAAATCCGCCATGCGAACAGACAGGTTTTAGTAACGGTTACTAAAATGTAGACATTCGACTGATCGAAAACACAGCCCAGAAACACAGAAAACATTTATAACAAATCACTTTGCTCTCATTGACTGAAAAGTCAGTTGACTCAGCAGAATACTCGACTGTCTTTAACAATGCGAGCAAGATATCAATGAAAACTATATAAGTTATTAAGAATGTATATGATAACATTACCGTAATAATATAACTTCAAAAATTTAAAGAGAGACATGGTGATAGAATCTCTTCTAAATTTTTTACGTCATCTCTAGAAATTATCTTCCAAAAAATTAACTAGAAATGAGAATATGCATAAACAGAGATAGATAAATAGTTAGATAGATAGATAGATAGATAGATAGATAGATAGATATGGATATAAGTTTCAACACTGTATAGTGACTATTAGTTTCACATCTCAATGCGATCTTCACACGAAGTCTTAGTCACAAGTCTGACAGTCACCATGCTGTGTTGATTCTTACATCCACACTATTTCCTGAATTGAGTTTTCTACCCACATAAACATAGCAACTTTTAAACAATATACTCATATATCGAGAGAGAACAAGAGAGACAAAGAGAGTGTATTCGTGTTTATTTCGTGTATATATGAATGTGAAAGAGAGAGAGAGAGAGAAAGAGAGAGATAAGCAAGTGTTCATTCAAACAAGTGTTTTAAGATAATAGTCATTTTTTATCTGCAAAACATCACTTTTGCTATCCTTCTGGGTCCGTTCTCAGACATTTATATGGCCCGTTGAGAATCAATTATTCAACAAAATAACTAAATAAACCGTACAAAGTCCAATATACCGACGATATATTTATTTTCTCTAAGGAAAAATCATAGAGGAAAATTAAAAGAATTATTCGAACGTAATTTTGTTGTGAACTTTACATATCGACTGTCAATGTCAAACTTTTCTTATCTTTCTGTATTTAAAAGAAACTTCTAT